TGGTCTCTTCGTCACCAAAGCTGATTCTTCAGCCCTAGCTGACCAGCACCCATTGTCCCAGCAAAGCAAATGTTTTACTTTAGTGGTTCTGGTCTCTTATTAATCGCAGCTGATTCTTCAGTTCCAGCTGACCAAATACCACTGATTCTTCATGCAAGTGCCCTGGTAGGGTCTCGGAAGTGTTACAAGCCAGGCCTCCATCTTCTGTATGGCTCTCAGTATTCTTATCTTCTAAGCTCCCACAGAAAGCTCACTGAGCTCTTAACGCAATGCCTTTTCTAGCCCAAAGTTCTTCCACAATCCTTCCCAAAAAGTGTGGTCAGTTCTGTCACAGCCACACCCACTATCCCGGTACTAACTTGTCTCAGTTAGACTACTATTGCTGTAAAACACCATGACCAAAGAGTTGAGGAGAAAAGGGTTTATTTGGCTTATGCTTCCACATCACTGTTCATCATACAAGGAAATCAGGATAGAAACTTAAAACAGGGCAGGAACCTGGAGGCGGGAGCTGATGCACTTCAATGACTAATTAAGAAAATGCCTTACAGCTATGCCTATAGCCTGATCTTACGGAGGCATGTTCTCTAAGGATCCTAGTTTGTATGAAGCAGACATAAAACTAGCCAGGACACTGAAGCAAAATGAAGGTCACAAACTTGTTCCTATAGTCTAACTGAACCCAAGGAATCCTAAGCACAACCCAGCATTCCCTTCCTTTCTCCCCACAAAATAACAGAAGTTGTGGAAGGGATTGTGACTTTTCTCAAGTCAGAAAACTCATGTCTAAAGTCACAGCTGGCAGACATACAAGTCTTTCCCTGAGATATCCCTTCGGTGATGCTTGCTTCCATTCTCACCACGAACACCAGCTAAAAGCACAAAAGATGTCCAACGCGCACATTTGAGGAAACTAGTTTGCTTGATTGTGCAAAACAATCTAAAAGCTTTGTGCAAAACAGAGCTAGTTTTGGCTTTGAAGTGGCTAGGCCAACAGGCAATAAAATCACCTGAGAATGGAGTATGACCTCAGACTGTAGAATGTGAGAAAACTGGAGGATACGGGTTAGGAAAAGGTTAACAAAGAAAGCAAACTGCTTCTGAAAATTCCAAACACGGGCAATGCCGATGGAGGGTGTAGGTCTTCCGTATCAGTACCAGGAGTGAGTATTTGCATACACTGCTTCACGTATCAAGCATGACACAGCCTCTCCTTTCATACACAGTGGCTGAACACAGCATTCCTGGGCTGTCTAGTGAAGACTTATTTATTTTAGACACTATCGACACCTAGTTTGAAAGCATTTACCGATAGGTTTCTGTATCAGGCAGCTTTCCATTTCTATAGTAAAATACCTGAAGCAAATAACTTATAAAAGAAAAAGGTTCAGTCTATCATATATAGGATCTAGATTTAAATTAAATATATATATGAATATGAGCAAGGTGTATATGATATATAGCCATGAAAACGTAATGAAATATGGGATGGTAGCACATGCCTTTAATACCAAGTCTTGCAAGATGTCATGTGAGGATCAAGAGCTTGCCATCTGTGGCTATATAGTGACTCTTGGGATAGCCTAGGATTCTTAAGGCCCTCCCTCAAAAAAAAAGTCCCCTGAAAGAAAGTTATTGTCTGTACACTAAAGAAACTAACAATAAGAAAGAAAAAAGAGGCGCCAGTTGCTTCAGAGTCCTGGTACGGGTAATCACGTTTCGTGCGTGCTCATTCAGCCAAGATGCCTGAGGAAACCCAGACCCAAGACCAACCAATGGAGGAGGCTGAGACCTTTGCCTTTCAGGCAGAAATTGCCCAGTTAATGTCCTTGATCATCAATACTTTTTACTCGAACAAAGAGATCTTTCTGAGGGAGCTCATTTCCAATTCATTGGATGCTCTGGATAAAATCAGATACGAGAGCTTGACGGACCCTAGTAAACTCGACTCGGAAAAGGAGCTGCACATTAATCCCATTCCCAACAAACAGGATCGAACCCTCACTATTGTGGATACTGGAATTGGAATGACCAAGGCTGACTTGATCAATAACCTTGGCACTATTGCCAAGTCAGGCACCAAAGCCTTCATGGAGGCTTTGCAGGCTGGTGCAGATATCTCTATGATTGGCCAGTTTGGTGTTGGTTTTTACTCTGCGTATTTGGTTGCTGAGAAAGTGACTGTCATCACGAAGCACAATGATGATGACCAGTATGCCTGGGAGTCCTCAGCTGGGGGATCCTTCACAGTGAGGACTGACACAGGGGAGCCAATGGGCCGTGGGACAAAGGTGATCTTGCATCTGAAGGAAGACCAAACTGAGTATTTGGAGGAAAGGAGAATAAAGGAGATTGTGAAGAAGCATTCTCAGTTTATTGGCTATCCCATTACTCTGTTTGTGGAGAAGGAACATGATAAGGAAGTCCGTGATGATGAGGCTGAAGAAAAGGAAAAGAAGGAGGAAGAGAAAGAAAAAGAAGAAAAGGAGTCTGATGACAAGCCTGAAATAGAAGATGTTGGTTCTGATGAAGAAGAGAAGAAGGATGGTGACAAGAAGAAAAAGAAGATAAAGGAAAAGTACATTGATCAAGAAGAACTCAACAAAACAAAGCCGATTTGGACCAGGAATCCTGATGACACTACTAATGAAGAATACGGAGAGTTCTACAAGAGCTTAACCAACGATTGGGAAGAACATTTGGCAGTAAAGCATTTTTCTGTTGAAGGACAATTAGAATTCCGGGCCCTTCTTTTTGTCCCAGGACGCGCTCCTTTTGATCTGTTTGAAAACAGAAAGAAAAAGAACAACATCAAGTTGTATGTTCGCAGAGTTTTTATCATGGATAACTGTGAGGAGTTAATCCCCGAGTATCTGAATTTCATTAGAGGGGTGGTGGATTCTGAGGATCTCCCTCTAAATATTTCCCGTGAAATGCTGCAGCAAAGCAAAATTCTGAAAGTTATCAGGAAGAATTTGGTCAAGAAATGCTTAGTACTATTTATTGAACTGGCAGAAGATAAAAAGAACTACAAGAAGTTTAATGAGCAGTTCTCAAAAAACATAAAGCTTGGAATTCATGAAGACTCTCAAAATCGGAAGAAGCTTTCAGAGCTGTTGCGGTACTACACATCTGCTTCTGGGGATGAGATGGGGTCTCTGAAGGACTACTGCACCAGAATGAAGGAAAACCAGAAGCACATCTATTTTATCACAGGTGAGACCAAGGACCAGGTTGCTAACTCAGCCTTTGTGGAACGTCTCCGAAAGCATGACTTAGAAGTAATCTATATGATTGAGCCCATTGATGAGCATTGTGTGCAACAGCTGAAGGAATTTGAGGGCAAGACCTTGGTGTCTGTTACCAAAGAGGGACTGGAACTTCCAGAAGATGAAGAAGAAAAGAAGAAACAGGAAGAGAAAAAGACAAAATTTGAGAACCTCTGCAAAATTATGAAAGATATTTTGGAGGAAAAGGTTGAAGAGGTGGTTGTGTCAAACCGACTGGCGACATTCCCAGGCTGTATTGTCACAAGCACGTATGGGTGGACAGCAAACATGGAGAGAATCATGAAAGCTCAAGCCCTCAGAGACAACTCAACAATGGGTTACATGGCAGCAAAGAAACACCTGGAGATAATCCCTGATTACTCCATTATTGAAACCTTAAGTCAAAAGGCAGAGGCTGACAAGAATGACAAGGCTGTGAAATATCTGGTCATCTTGCTGTACGAAACTGCACTCCTGTCTTCTGGCTCCAGTCTGGAAGATCCTCAGACCCATGCTAACAGGCTCTACAGGATGATCAAGCTTGGTCTAGGTATTGAAGAGGATGATCCCACTGTGGATGAGACCAGTGCTGCTGTAACTGAAGAAATGCCACCCCTGGAAGGAGATGACGACACATCACGCATGGAAGAAGTAGACTAAGCTTCACCAGAACTATGTGTTTGATGCTTACCTTCATTCCTTCTGATAATATATTTTCCATGATTTCTGTTTATTTTTGTGAACATTTAAAACATCTGTGTGGCGTGAAAACTATGGGGAAGATCAAATGTCTACATGTGATACTGTGATACTGTAGGTTTGACTCAAAAGGCTGATAGAACGTTTGTCGTAAGACGTAACCTGCTGTTAACGTTAACTCTGTGGTCGGAAGTGTTTAGCTGTTGAGCTGGATTCCTTAGTAGACCAAATTAAGATGGCTTAAGTTACATCTTAAAACTTTCATTCCCTGTAGTTAATTCTGCATGTGCTAGTCTTAGAAGTAAACACAAGTTAAAACAACTTGACAGGAGCTCCCCAAGTGGCTTGCTATCCAAAGTACCAAGAACAAAACCTTAAGTTTCCCTAGGTCTTCTAACTCTCAGCAAGGCTTGTGAATGGAAATAATAGTGCCCAATCACATTCTGCCTTAAAAGGTAAATACAGATGAGATAAAAAGGAAAAAGAAAGAAAAGAGAGAGAGAGAGAGACAGAGAGAGAGAGAGAGAGAGAGAGAGAGAGAGAGAGAGAGAGAGAGAAAGAAAGAAAGAAAGAGAAAGAAAGAAAGAAAAAGGAAGGCTGGAGAGACGGCTCAGTGCTTAAGAACACTAGCTGCTCGCCAGGCGGTGGTGGCGCACGCCTTTAATCCCAGCACTTGGGAGGCAGAGGCAGGTGGATTTCTGAGTTCGAGGCCAACCTAGTCTACAAAGTGAGTTCCAGGACAGCCAGGGCTACACAGAGAAACCCTGTCTCGAAAAACAAAACAAAACAAAAAAGAACACTAGCTGCTCTTGCAAAGGACCTAGGTTCAATTCCCAGCACCTACATGGTACCTCACAACTGCCTATGACTAGAGTCTCAGGGGATTTGATGCCCTCTTTTGGCACATACAGTAATACAGGTTCACATACATATACATAAATAAAAAATAGTGTTTTTAAAATAAATTAAAATTCAGAAAAGAAAGTTTAGTTTTGAATCAGTTTTACATGGTCAGTCCAAAATTGAGTGCCCAGCTTTGCGCAGTGGCAGCATCGTAGCCAATGAGGTTTACCCAAGGCGCGATTATGGCTAATTGAAAACAGAATTGAGGGTACTGTTATTTCAGGTCTCAAGCTGTCAGGTCCCAAAGAAACCCTGGACAAGGCTCATTCCTGTGAGCTCTCTGTGGCTCCGCCCAGCACTTCTCGTCCCCGCCCCCTACCCTAAATCTCTGTAGTCCAGACGCTTTGCTTCCCTTCCTCCTCCCTTCCTCCGGTTTCTCGGTTTCTTGTGCCATCAACCTCCCTTTTCTGCCCAGCACTCTTTTGGTCCTGGGCTCCTCCCTTGATCCACTTGCCCTCTCTCCTCTCTCCACTCTTCGCTTCTCGCTTTGCCTTCTCTCTCTCCTCTCATGGCCTGGTTCAGTCTGGAGTCTCCCAGATGCCTCTGGCCGTCCTCCCTCATATCTACACTAAACCCCTCTTCATCAGCCGTACCTTGGAGCGAGCGGTCTTGTCATCATTTTCATCCACCAAGGCACTTTATGCTGGAAATGCATAACATAGGAAGCTTCTTGTGAGCCAGGAAAGGTGAGAGAAAGAGAAGAAACTGGTTCCCACAATCCTTTTCTAGAGCATGCCCTCAGTGACCTAATGACCTTTCTCTTAAAGGTTCCGCCATCTTCCAGTACCACCCGAAGGAACCAAGCCTTTAAATAAAATACACGCATTTGACGCTCCATGCCATGGAATTCCACCCCGGCCTCTGCCTCATGATAAAATAAGCATTCATTTCAACTCCTCCAGTCTCCAATCCCAGTGGCAGGGGAACCCTACTGGTAGGAGAAAAAGCCCACCAGACATTTAGATAGTTGTCTCAAGTCAGGAGTATGAGAAGAAACGGGAAAATGATCATCGTTTTTTATCTATTCGTGGCCCCTCTACCTATCATCTGCCTATCAGGGATCTAACTCCGGCTCCCTCAGCTGGGGATGTAGTTCAGTTGCTTTCACAACGGGCACAGGCCTGGGGGTCTGTTCTTGGCACTGTATAAATAGGGCAGGTGGTACATGCCTGTAAGCCCAGCAGTGTTGGGGTGTGGGGGTGGAGGCAGGGGTGTCAGAAGTTTAGGGTCATCCACAGTTTGACAAATGAGTTTGAGGACAGGAGAGGCTACTTGAGGACATAGCTTAAAAACAGACAAGAAAGTCAGATGGCCCCTGGGAGGAAAACAGGTCCAAGGGTTGTCTCCTGGGCAGCGGGAGTGGCCCGGGTTGTTCAGAGCGAAGAGAACAAAGGAAGTTTGCACTCAGCCTTGCCAGGGTGAGCAGTAGATGCTGCTCACAGCGGAACAACCGCCTCTTGGTGCTGAGGAAGTTGCTGCCATCTCCTCCATTCACCGTACATGTTGGCTTTCCATCTGACGTGTCATCCTGGGAGGGAGACACAACTCAGTTCCCGGGAGAAGATGGCTCCAGCTTAAGTGGACAGTATCCACATGGGATGAACTGCCTGTAAAACCCTGTTCCTGGAAGGTGCAGGGCCAGGAAGGTAGACTTCTAGGAGTGTCCCTCTAGGAATTCTGCAGCAGGGCATTCAGGATGTTCCAGAAAAATCTTTAAAACTCCCTAGATATTTATCTGGGTACATTGAACCTTGAAACAGAGAAATAGGGCAAACACTACCTAAATGATTAACATGTAGAGCAGGAATTTGTTCCAAAGTTTAAGGCAGAAAAAGCAAATACAAAATGAAGGCAGAGGTGCCAAGATTTATCTTGCTTTTAGTTATCCATTAGACATTTGCAGGCCCAGGGCAAGGTCAGCATTTCTAGCAATTACAGCCCGTGTCCTTGTCATAACCCCAGTAAGGACAACTATTGTCGAAATGATTACAGCAAGTTCTGATGAGGATGCAGAGTCAAAGGAATTCCCAAACACTGTGGGAAGTTCATGCCCATCATGGAAAGCAATATGGGGACGCTCAAGAAATAAAAATAGAATGACCATAGGACCAGCAACCCCACTACTATCTCCAAACGAAATGAGACCAGTTTGTCAGAGCACACACCAGTGTTCGCCGAATTGTTGTTAACAGTGTAAGAGTAACAGTAACTATAGAGAAAATGAGAAGGGCGGGTGTAATGAAAATGTAAATCCTCTTCAGTCACACAGTCATACAAAACTTTAAAAAAGGAAGAGGTGGAGGCTGGAGAGATGGCACAGCAGTTACCAGCACTGGCTGCTCTTCTGGAGGACCTATGCTCAGCTCCTAGCACCCACATGGCAGTTAGCCACCATCTGTATCTTCATTTCCAGGGAACCCAGCATCACCTTCTAGCCTCCTCAGGCACAGGCAAAACATTCATACATAAAATAATGATTTAAAACCGAGTTTCACGGGCTGGGGAGATGGTTCAGCAGTTAAGAGCACTGGCTGCTCTTCCAGAGGTCCTGAGTTCAATTCCCAGCAACCACATGGTAGCTCACAACCATCTGTAATGGGATCTGATGCCCTCTTATGGTGTGTGTGAAGACAGCTACAGTGTATTCATACACATAAAATAAATAAATAATTTTTTTAATCAAAAACAGTGAGGTCAGGAACTCAAATAGGGCTGGAACCTGGAGGCAGGAGCTGATGGAGGGTGCTTGCTCACTGGCTTGCCCTCCATGGCTGGTTCAGCCTGCTTTCTTATAGAACCCAGGACCACCAGCTTAGGGATAGCACCACTCATAATGGGTTGAGCCCTCCCCCATTAATCACTAATTAAGAAAATTCTCCACAGGCTTGCTTATAGCCAGATCTCCCCCCCCCAACCCCCCTGCCACCTTGGTTTTTCGAGACAGGGTCTCCTCTGTGTAGCCCTGGCTGTCTTGGAACTCACTCGGTAGACCAGGCTGGCTTCAAACTCAGAAATCTGCCTGCCTCTGCCTCCCAAGTGCTGGGATCAAAGGTGTGCGCCACCACTGCCCAGCTATAGCCAGATCTTATGAAGGAGTCTCCACCCCTCTGATGACTCTAGCTTGTGTAGAGTTAACATAAAGTCACACAATGCTCCTCAGGAATAGCTCCTGGGACTTGTGCCCACTAGGTCCCTTCTCTTCACTAGGTTCCACTTCCTCCCAAAAGCGTCATGCTAGGGCCCAAACCTTCAACACCTAGGCATTTAGAGAACACTCTCTATCCACATCATAGCACGATGAGGTAACAGTTACCAGCTTTCCATTGCTGTGGTCTGGAACTGATGACTTGAATGTTCAGTGTCCTCCACAGACCTGTGTTTGGATGATTGGTCCCCAGCTGCTTAGGGGCACTGCTTTGAGGAGTTATAATGGATGGGAGGCCATCAGGGGTGGCAGCCCTTCTGGCCTTAGGAGTCTGCTTCTCATTTGACCAAGATATAACCGAGCTGCCTCACGTTCCCATGGCTATGGGCAGAGCCCTCCAGCATCAACACCTTCTTCACAGCCTCATTTGAATGAGAAATGCCTCGAATAGCGAATAGTGTGTATCTGACTGAGTGCTCCCTATCTGTGGTGCTGTCCCTCTACACTCATGTGTCCAACCCTGTATGGGCTCCATCCCCTAGATCTGCAAAACAAAATATGCCCTTCCTCCCTTCAGTTACTTATTTTGGGCCCTTTTTCTCAGCGGGCCTAATAGATATTTAATAGATCATTATAACAGGTGACCATAGGCGGCCACGTTCTAACTGGCTTAATAATCAGAGACTTGTATCAGTTACTTTTCTGTTGTTGTGATAAAAATCTCATGACCAAAAGCAATTTAAGGAAGAAGGAGTAATTTTAGCTTCAAGTTCCAGGGGGATAAAGTCCATATGGCAAGGAAGGCATGACAGAAGTTGCTGGAAGCAGAGGTTCACATTTCATCCACACACAGTAAACACGGAGACAGAGCAGGAAGTAGAGAGAGGCTATAAACTCTCAACCCCCCCCCCAGTGGCATGTCCTCCAGCAAGGTCCAAATCATAAATGTTCCATAACCTTCCCCACAGCTAGGGAGCAGAGGGTCGGATACACGAGTGTATCAGGACAGCACCGGCATCAGGACAGCACCGGCATCGAGGGAGGACATGTCAGATGCACGAGCCTATCAGAGGCATTTCTCATTCAAATGAGGCTGTTATCACATTTGGCTCTGGCTCTTAATGGCATAAGTAGGAAGTAATTACCACTTTTCTAGAGAACAAGCTGTTTTAGTTAAGGCCTTAGATGGAAGATATGACCTTAAATGGCACTAAGGGAGGAGATGCGCCAGGTCAGATCCCTCCTCTCCCTTTGATCTTGTTTTAATGCTTTCCACTGCCCTGATTTACCTGGAAGCTAAGGACATGGAGGCTTATAGATGTGCTTCCTATAGGCTAGCCTATGCTCCTACGGCATAAAGCAGGGCAGAGTAGGAGGAACACAAGTCCCAAAGGGTGAAATGAAGACAGTCCACCCAGTTTACTCTACGATGGTAGCACAGCATCCTAACTCCATCCGGTGGCTGGAACAGTGACAAACAGCCAAAAATTTAATGAGGGATATAGAGGGAAATAGGAAAAAGAGTGCCCATGCCTTTCCAAAGTAAAAAGAGTGAAATTTCTCACCACATACATAAAGAACTTGATTCTTCTTTGCATGGTGCAGTACACAATGCCATCCAGAAGATGGCAGCATTGGCAAGCCATCCGCCACTTAGAAATCCAACACACAAAAACATTTTCACAATTATCGTTGATAGACAGTAAGTTTCCTAAACAGAACAAGAGATTTCATTTGTTTTATTATCTTTTAATTCCATATATGCGTCTGAGTCTGTGTCTGGGTAAGTGTATGTGAGCACAGGTGTCTGCAGAGACCAAAGACCTTGGAGCCTCTGGAGCTGGAGATCAGAAGGCTGGAGTTGCTGGACTTGGGTGCTGGGAACTGAATCTGGGTCCTCTGGAAAGGCAAGTCCTCTTAACCACTGAGCTATCTTTGCAGCTACCAGAATAACTTTTAAGTCATGGACGGTCCTAAGTAACTAAATGAAGTACAGGGCTTACTGTCGAGTAGCTATATAGTTCTGTGTGTTTTAAAGGCCCCACGTTGCCTGATGATATCATCAAATGCAAATGATACATACTCTATAATACAGTAGTATTAAATGTCTATGTTATAAAGCTATA